TCCCTTCATTTTATGTAAGCCGCCCTGAGTCCCCTCAGGGAAAAGGGCGGCCTATAAGTATTAATAAATACTCAAATACTCCCCATTCAACTGGAGAGCTTATCACCTCACTGGATAATTTGAGATCAAACTTTATCTTTTAATCCAACCAGAGAATTAACATCATGATAAAACGGGTCTGAAAGAGACATATAATCATTCCTGGAGGCAAATCAGGATATAAATCCCATTTATTTGGGCATTTGTGAATGAAATCATATCTCCATAATATCCGTAATATTTATGAACTGTCTCTTTACAAAATTTACATTTTAACTGTGGCTCAAACTTGTTATGAATTTTAATGCTGTTAAGTCATCATGAATTATGCTTTGATATGGGAAAAGCTAGAAATAGATTCTTTAATAAGTAAATATAAATAACTGCTCAATTAAGTGACAGTCTTCAGATAAGCTTGGGATCTCTAAAAGTTAAGTAGAGAAGGATTTGGCTAATATTTGTAAAAATACTAACCAAATAGGAATAAATAGGAACCAAATAGGAACAAAGTTTGGAAAGTGAAAAATATATCCGTCTCATTCCTGTTCAAGAATGTGATAGGATTTTAGACTTGATGTTAAATATTACCATTTTATAAAGTTTAGGAGGATTAAACTGTAATTTGTCAACTTTGTAAGAAGTCCAATTTACCCATTTTGATGGAAATTGCCTAAAAATATTAAAGCTTAATTTGTTCTGAAAGTACTTACCATAGTTTTAAAAACTGTATTGTCATCCCTTTCATTTCTGCTACTTTGTAACACAGATTCTTTTGGGGGATAATTTATGTCCTGCTGTATATTTAAGCTTTCTGCTATTGATAGGTCTATATTGATAATAAGAGAAAGTAGTTAATTCTTGTCCAATGTACTTACCAATTAATTGCCATTACCAATAAATACCGTGTTTCCCCAAAAATAAGACAAGGTCTTATTTTCTTTTGACCCCTGAAATAAGCACTTGGCCTTATTTTCGGGGAGGTCTTATTATTTTTGAGGTGCAGGAGGCAGCAAGCGTGGTCACCTCATGGCTGCTGCTGTATTACAATACTGTGACAGTGACTGTTTGAAGTAACAATCTATTTGAAAAAGAGAACTTATGACCCAAATCCGCAATTCTGATTGTTGCTCCTCCTCCTCCTCCTGGTCATGTGACCACACTTTGGAAGCTTGTTCACACAGTCGCATTCATGACTGTTTGCAATATCTGTGGTCACATGACAGCATTTTATGACAGGTTTGCGGAAAACTGGTGCTTACTTCCAGTTTTTGGCAAAACCGAGCCCATAGCAAACAGTGGGCTTGCATTTTTGACTGCTATGGTTGCTTTAAAAACTGCAAAAAAAAAAAAAGAGGGGAGGGGGAGAGAGGGAGGGGAGGAGAGAGGGAGCAAATAAATACACTAGCACTTAGACTTATATACCGCTTCACAATGCTTCACAACCTTCTCTAAGCCGTTTACAGAATCAACCTCTTGATCCCAGCAATCTGGGTTCTCATTTTACCGACCTCAAAAGGACAGAAGGCTGAGTCGACCTTGAATGGTGATGATCGAACTTCAGACTGTGGGCAGAATTAGCTGCAATACTGCATTCTGAGAGAGAGGAGAGAGAGAGAGGGAGGGAGGGAGAGAGAGAGAGGAAGGGAGGGGGGGAGAGAGGGAGGGAGGGAAAGAGAAACAGTGAGTGAGAGAAACAGTATGGGACAGAGAGAGAGACACAGAGAGA